GAAAGAGTGAAAGAAGGAAGCATTTTTCATCTCAAAACTGCCTGAGTTTAATAAGCACCAGCTGCACCCTAACGTTATGTCACAGAAGATTTTTCTGAAGGAGCAAGTGCAACACTGCTTTTCCCTCCTTTGCTTTGTTTTCCTTACTATTTTGCTGCAAAATTGATGCAAAAGAAATGGCAATGAATGAGGCAGGATGCAATTCCAAACAATTACAGATCACACAATACATGAAAGTAATAAAATTTTCTGCCTTGATTGTGAGGCCCTTCGGCTGGATATGAATCTCCAATGACACCTCTGGGAGCAGCACACTAGATTATGTCAAGCATTAGGGGGAAAAAAATTAGATTCATGATGTCTGTCCAGGCTGAGTCATTTCCTCTCACTTTGCCTGCAGTGAGAAATTGGTGGTTATCATAAATCATAGCCCTAAATTCTTAGGAGAGAGGAATTAATTTCACTAATGGAAACCCTCTGTGGCAATAGCATTCCTCTATTCTCTCTCTTCTTGGGGGAAGGGGGTATCTGCGATGCCTTTTAAGCAGAGATACTTGACCATATCTTAAGTATCCTATAAAAGAGGATTGGAAAGGAAACTTAAAATTGTAAGGGAAAAAATCTTGTGTGTGACCAACTTCTAATTTCTGAGGCTGGCCCTAACTCTAGTTGTTCGTATCATGGCTACAGCTTTGCCACCGATACCAAATCCAGGTACAAAATTTCAGAGTACTCAAGTCAACATTAAAGGTCTAAACCCTCCATCTGGTTAAAGTACGATTTCTCCCACCTAGTTGCAGCTGCCAGCCTGCCAAGCCAGGCTTAGCAAAGTTTCTTGGCTCCCTCTACAGTCAGTGGAGACAAGTGGGTATGTCCAGATACTCACTCACTCAACCCAGCCTCGATGCCTATTATTTTGAGCTGGAGTGAACCACTGTCCACACTGTGTACAAGAGGAGCCCACAGGACACAACTCTGAGGCATCTGAAGTTTGGTGAGGAGGATCCCACCTCAGAGTGCCTAAAGGGTGCTTCGAAATGGCAGGACTTCTGATCGCTTCAAAAAAGCTCAGGAAATCATTCTGTTGTACGTAGCATCATTGAAATATAGAAAAAAGCCATTTCATCTAAATAATTAAACAAACAACCAAAGAAAATTGTAAAAAGCAATTCTTTTCTAGCCCCTTGAAATCTAGAGTGCTGCGTGTGGGCTGAATAGAGGTAGCACGGACTATGGGGATAAGTGAAAGTACCCGTGACTAACCCAATATATTTTATGCTTTTTTCTTAGTGGAAGTCCCAGTGGGGAATTAAGTGGCTGAAATATTTTGTAAACTGGAAGGAATGAGAACAGAACAGCTACTGCATTTTTCAAAACATGATTTATGAGATATCAGGCCATACCGTGGAAAATCATGCACTCCTATGAGTTCACTGTTAAAAGTCACACATTATCAAGACATCAGTGTCAGTTGTGTGTCCGAGAAATGGGTCTGCCTCTCCTCCCACTGGCATCTTGGCAAAATTTTCATAGGCAACAAAATGCTGTAAATTTTCTAACTGCAGTGCAAGTACATCTGAGTCCAGCTGACTTTAAGGGTGGAATATATTAAAAACCCGTGAAATACTTTGAAGAGCTACAGCTAAGCTACTTCTGAAACTACATCAGTGAAAGATATTCTGAGTGAAAAACATTCCTCCTGTGTATTATTTTAGATATTTGGCCATTAAGAGAAGACTGTCAGTCAAAAGACTCCTTTCTCTTGATATAACTGTCAGCCTGGATGAACATTTTAGACTGTACAGCACAGGTTCAGCATTGCCTTACGGAAAATGGCAAATGGAAAACTCAGCGGAAGAGGAGTAACGTTAAAGAAGGTTATGAGCAAACTCTTGCAAGTGGGATTTGAAAGGCTTTTGTCCCGGTGTTTTGAGCAGTTCTGGGGTCTGGTCTGGCTTCCAGTAGCCTTATCCCCAGCTACTCTTCATGAATCAGAAGCCTCAAGCAGGCTTAGCTTTCACTGAACCACGGCTGCCTTCCCCGTAGATCCGCAATGCCCTTGATAAAAGATGTGGGAACAAGTAGTAGGGCTATATATGCTACTTCTTCACATATTCAGAGTCAGAATTCCTACGGTGCTTGCTACAGCTTTGCATCCCACCAAATCACAGAACACATATGATGGAAAGGCCCATGCTCCCCTGTGGCTGACCTCAGTGGAAGTCTGGTCACGTTGCTATTTAACAGCAAAGTGCTCCAAGCTCTTTCAGTCCTGCTACTATGGAAGTGAAAAATATGGACCATTCTAAAGGAACCAAATCTAATGTATTTTAAGCGCATCTTTAAGAAAAAAAAAAAAAAAAAAAGCCCAAATAAACTAAGAAAAGGGTGAGAAACCCTCCCAAAGCAAAGAGTTCTTACATCTAGGTGGGAGCTGCTGATTTTGCATAGGCTCTAAGACAGCTGGTTATGGATCTGTCCAAACCACTTGCACAAATAGCTGTTTGCTCACATGGTACAAACACCCAGTTATTTATGTTGTCTCAGGCAATTGCACATGCCAAAGCTGATCAACAGAAATGAACTGCAGGGTTAACTTACAAACGCAATTTGTATAGGTATTTAAAAGACAGCAAACGCAGAATTCAGGTTGTGCTTTGTTCAAAACGCACACAATTTACTGCTATGTAGCAGCTGTTGCTTGTATGCGAACATTTATTATGAGAACTCTCTGAACTTAGAATAGTAGAGGACTTGGACATAGTGTTTCCATGCTCCGTTACCTTTCAATTATTTTTTATAGGAGTTTTATGAGACATCATGCAACATTTTGAAGCAGTTCTTTTGAGCATAATTTAGTGACAAACACACGTGTAAGTTATGGTTACAATGCATCCTTGCTGTTAGCTGTATCATCAATTATCTTGCTTTATGCATTGTAAAATTGCCCCCCAAAAGATGTAATTAACATAATTAGGTCTTATCACCATAATTATACATTCCTATCAACTAACATTCCACGCAGCTCTTCATGGATCTAACTTGCAACGATACAAATTCCACATCTTAATCGATGTGCTTTTCACGCATTTTTGCAACAAATTATACATTTTTGTTGAGGCGCCTTTTGTCTTTCAGTAATCAGACAATGACAGCAAGAAAACCCCCATTTTTCTTCCTGTTTTCACTGCACAACAATCTCCAACAGCAATACGGGCTGGTACATTTTAAAAAGATACTCAATCCTGTAACACTATCTTTGTTGTCAAA